ATTTTAATATTATCATTATGATTTATTCATTATTTATGTCAATATTATGTAATGTTTCATTATTATTATTGTCGATTATCATTATTATCATTATTATCATTATAGAACAATTATTTTTTGTTAATCAATGGTTATTAGTAGTAGTAGTAGTACATGGTAAGTATCATTGGTTTTAAACCATTATATTCATCATTGTTAATATCATCATCACCATTTTTATTATACATCAAATTCATTTTTCCTATTGTTATTTTTAATGTTATTATCGTCTGATTATCATTATCCCTCATTCTTTTCTTTACCTAATAATACATCATCATAATTATATTACTATTATTATATTTTATCTTTGTTATTATTATCTTTATCCCTAATCATTATCATCATTATTAATAAGAGTAACTGATGATATAATAAATGAATAATATTAATAATAATAATGATTAATAATAATAATAATAATCAATAATAAAATCAATAATAATTAATAGATAATAATTATTATATTATTATTATTATTATTATATTATTATTATTAATTTTAGTATTATTACTGTATTACTAATATCATTATCATTATTAATGCATAGTTTTATCTTTATCATTGTGTTACAATTGGTCAATATCCTTATTGTTTATTACCGATTTTGATCATTGCTTTATTATTTTTATCATTAGTAGTATTAGTATTTGTATTAAAATGTTGTTATTAATTATTATTAATTATCATTATTATATATTAATCATTTCAATTATTGTGGTTTCACTATAATTACCTTTGTTACTATTTTAATTGCATTGAGTCATTAATATATCTATTATNTGTATGTGTGTGTGTATGTGTGTGTGTGTGTGTGTGTGTGTGTGGACTTCCGATCTACTATATTTATATACAGTATATCCACAAGATATAATTGACCTTCTATACCCCCCAGCAGTAATGAAAAATAAACTTTCCATGTTGAATAAGAAAGAATTAACAGCTAAATTTAATACATACCTACTGTACACAACAGACACACAATTCTGCAATTTCAATTTTAAAATGTTGATTTCAATATAAAGGGTTTCATACCTGTATAAAAACTGACAATGGGCAAATAGAGGCTCAAATATGAGGACAAATGGCTTTATATTGTCAACACATGCCTGTGGGAATACTGTTACACCTTCATATATAACTCTCGATTTAAAACCTTCTAACACCCATGCATATATCTTTATCACAAATCTTGTCACTGATACCTGGTAAAGCACTCAAAATATTTACCATGTGTAAAAAAGATCTTTGAAGTGGTTTTCCTTTCTGATTCCATCACCCCTTTCCTAGTTTATGTTTTATGACACCTATATTCTCCTACTCATTTGCACATCCTTCATTTTTACAAATCCTGTAATTTTACATGGTTTCAACCAATCTCCTTTTTCCTCCTTCTTGGACATCCTGGTCATAATTTTGATGTGAAAATTAACACAAGCATCTGTTGATTTCTCAGGTAGTCTACATCCCCAAACCTAATGATACCTTGGGACATTTTTTATTAAGTATTTATATTCAAAGCCTCAACATTTTCCTCCTACCATTTTACAATCTATTTTTTACTTCACTTTAAATTTTTCATTTACAATTAAACTTTTATGAAATAACTTCTTTTTCAGAGTGATAAAAGCTTTTAAAATAAGGCAGTGTGTTTAATTGTTTTGGTCAATAATCTTCATGCAATAACACATTACATAAAATCTTTTCCAGATTACAAAAATCGTTAATTCTGTTTAATCAGTTTAATAAGTTCCATAATCATTATTACCATTATAATATTAAAAAGGTTGTCTTAAAATAGTAATAATACATTAGGTTCCACAATCTATTCTCACAACTTTGTGTGTTTTACTACACAAAATTTGCTGCACTTTCTTTGGTGTCCAGAGTACCTCCATTTAATGTTTAAGAACCCCTCATAGTGGCAGGCATTCTCAATACATTGGGTTTACAATGTAATTGATTGATATGTATGTTTGATTTAAAAGGAATTTCAAAATTAATAAATTGGTTTCTTTAACATTTTATTAGCATAGTAAGTGTATACACTTAATGTTATAAAATGTATCTTATTAAAATTCCATGTCATTTGATATATTCCTATGCACAGAAATATTTCCATTTCACACTAGGGTTCACACTAAACAAATTGTTCATACATTCTTTTAGGGTGAGCTTGTTTACAGCTTTGTACAGTAATATCAAATACAAATGTATCCAAAAAACAATATCAAATAATGAAACAGTTTCTATACAATTCTTATTGCTGCAATTGGGTGAAATTTGAGCTACTGACTTAAATAGTAGGCTGTGAAAATGAAACTGCAAACCAATGAAATTCCATTTTGAAAGCTTCATAAAGCTGTGGGGAAAATATCTGCAAAGCTATAAATTTCTATTTTGAAAATCTTGCAAAAAAGGGTTATACTTGCCATCAGATATTAAATTTTTCATCTACAAAAAAGAGAAAACATTAAACATACGACTAGTTAAGATTTCAAATGTTTCCGCACAGAACATTTTTTCGTACTATGGCTTAGGATCAAATCCAATGATTTTGAAATCTATTTTGACTTCAACCTCCAAAATGACATCATGACAGCTGCTTCCTTCCCTGCTTCCCATCTGTAGCACCGAAGATGAGGCACAATCACACCCCTAGCCTTTACACAGTCAAACCCTCAATCATGTACATCTTGCGGAAGGTGATGTTGATTCTCTCAGAAGCCACATTGGGTTGCTTGGGAAACTGGAAGTATTAGATAAAAAGGGAAATGATAAGGATAGACTTAATGTTGAAGGCAATAATGAGAATGTTTATATTATTAAGATCAGGGTAAATACATTTCAAGATTTTCAGAGTAAAATGAGGAAAACTAATTCTGAAATGAAAAATGAAAGATCTCATAACCTCTCTACCAGAGACAAACAAATCTTTCCATAACTCAGTGCAAGAATAATAAGCAGCATTTTATTATTTGTGCCTTTTTTTGTAGTATTCAATTTTCTCTGATACAACCTACACCATAGGTCACAGTGGGCAGGAATAAGATCTTGAGCATGAAAATGGCATCCAACACTCTTCCAGTCCTGGCTCACAGACATTACATTCCACCTTGGCTTATCTATGGAAATAATGCAAATGCCCATTTCTAAACATCAAATAAGTTTTATCACCCTTGTGCAATTGTGGCGAGTCTTTCCCATCACCCCATCCTTCTGCTGAAACGCTCATGACAGCGTTCCCATCAGCCTGTCCTTCAACTAGGTTTTCCTATGATGCCATATTCATGTCACCTGGTCCTACGCCAAATTTTTTCATGACATAATAGTCACATCATCTGGACCGTATGGGTTAATTATGATCATCAAAGCCCTTGTTTCTCACATCCTATGCCAACTTACCTGGTGTTGCCAATCTTCTTGTGTGGCTCCTTCCATGAGCAAAAGTGATCCTGGGAAGAGAGGAAATCGAAGGAATCCACTGCCGTCCTTCCTCTGCATCTCAAAAAGCCTTGTCACACCTGTACCAGTACAAGAGTCATGAAATATCATCAGATTAAAAAAAGTGAATGGCAATGGGGTAGGAATGTTAATTTTTTTATGCACACAGAAGTGAACCATTTTACATAAAAAAAAAATGATATAGAATAAACACAAAATATCTTACATTTCAAAATAGATATAAACAAATACCAACAAATAATCTTTAAATCAAAGAAAAAAAACATTGAAATAAGAAAAAGGCATAAAAAGAAGACAAAAGATTCTAGATCCACAATAAAGAAACCATACGATAACTAGATCTAGCACTGACCAAGTGAGACAGAGGCAATAGAAGGTTCATCACGCAGGGCAGGGTGGTTCTCTGACATCCAGCCTACATGGTCGTAACCATTGCGGTACAGATTCAAGAAGCAGCTGTTGTATTGGTTGCCTGTGTAACGAATTAGCCTGCAAGGAAGAGAATAGGGATGATTGGTCTGCATTGCATGTGAAGTGATCATTTCCAAAACATATGATGATATACTTCTGCTTGAGTTCTGTCCAGTATAAGTCTCCTTACATTTTGGTAAAACCCATATAAAAATATATCATCACAAAGCTACAAATGTAAATGCACTCACATGTACATAGGTCCTACTCTCATCCAAACCTAAGCACACATTATACATCCTGAACCCACCTGTGCAGCAGGTCGACAATCTCTGGCAACCAGTTAGTGTTCTTCTCTAGAGTTACCCCAGAGTAGGAATAGTCACAAGGGCCAATCCATGAGAGGAGGTGTGGAAGGTTTTGCCACTTGCCCTCAATCAGCGCACGTCGCTGATGCCACTTTAGGCCCTTGCGTAAGATTCGGAAGATGGACTGCAACAAAGAGAGAGATTATGTTACTGTTCAATAAAAAGAGTGCAACAAAGAGAAAGAGAAGGTCACTGATTAATAAAACTACTGCAAAGATATGAAGGTGAAGGAACTTATAACTGAAAACACTACTTGCCATTTCAACATGAATTACATATTATAACACAACAATGCTATAAAAAGTAATGTTAATTTATGATTTCCACACTTTTTATTTTCCATAAGCAGATGATTCCATGCATCCACCAATGTGGAGTTCGTTATTCCCTAATTCTCAATCTTTCTAAAAATACCAACAAAGGCCTTACCATCTGGCCACTCTCAGTCATGAAGTTGGGCCAGTAACGGATGAGGGCCACACCACGGTCCGTCTCACTCAGGCACAGCTCCCCACCATCCTGCATCAGCCACTTAGGTACATTCACACACATGTTGTCTGATTCTTGGAGCCCAAGCTGGAAAAGGATGAGGCGAGATATTTCTCCTTATATAGGAAAATAAAAATGGAGAGAGAGAGAGAGAGAGAGAGAGAGAGAGAGAGAGAGAGAGAATACAGAGAGAGAATACAGAGAGAGAATACAGAGAGAGAATACAG